AAACAAAATTTAAAATGGGAAAAAAAATTATAAGGTAAAAGCCTGGAAATGTAAACCTAAGATGTCGCTTGCTTTCTTTCTTTCTTTAAGGCGTCTTTCTTGATATTTTATTTCTTACTATTAATTGTTCAAACCTATGTTTCATAAATTTGGTAGTTTTTCAATTCCCTCAAATAAAAATTAATCAAAAACTTAAAAGAGAAGGAAACAAAAAAGAAATAGAAAAAGAGAAGAAATTGAAAAAAAGGAAAAGAACAAATCAAATATATCTCTCCGTTACTTGAGTACTTATTCATCCGACCCTTTTTTTTTTCTTCTTTCTCTCACCCTCACTTTTTACATATAAATGCAATAACATACTGTAGACATGTAAAATTTATTAGATTCAAATTCAATAAATTATGTGGATTATATTTTAAATATACTAGTCCAAATAAATATTATGGGCTAATATNCCCTCATTTTTAAGCTAAAACCCCCTATTTTTTTTCTCCAATTACCTCATTTCTAAGCTTAAAAAAATCTCTTTTTTCCTTCAATTGCCTCATTTTTTGAGCTGAAAATCCCGATTTTTTCCCCAATTACTTCATTTGTGAGCTAAAAAATCTCATTTTTCTCCAATTGCCTCATTTTTTGAGCTAAAAATCCCATTTTTTTCTCCAAATGCCTCAACTTTTGAGCTAAATAATTGATCGGAAACTGCATCTGAATATTGGATTTTCAAGAAAAAACTAAAGAACCCAAGAAGGATATCTAGGGCTCAGATTTTGCTGTATATCCCATGAACATGCAAAGAGAAAGCAGACACACGCCATGGCTGCAGACACCGGTTTGCAAATTGTTGCCATACACGGGTCGCCCCGCCAAGATACGGGTCGGTTTTTTCTCAACGCATGTAAAGTAGATATAGCCCAGAAAGAAAGAAGCAAATCATCATCACAGCCCATTTCAGTATCCTATTTGAGCAAATCAGTTGTCACCTTCGTAAATACAAAGGGACATAAAAGTGGCTACTTGTGCAAAATCAGCTATTGTAACAGCAGAAACAGAAAAAGGAAGAGCATAATAGCCCCTTTTTCTAGAGATTCAAGGGTAACCAAATTGACGGAGAAAACTTTTCTGTTGACGAAAATGGCTATTTGTGCAAATAATATTTTCCTTTTCTTGTTCTTTTTTTCCAAAGGGTTGTTGGTTTTTTAACAATGGAGAAATCATGGATATAAAGCGGAGAGAGGGCAACCACCCTTTACAGAAAATCCCATCTCTCTCTCTCTCTCTGATGCCTCCTCATTCTTCCTTTCTGAGCTAAAACTGCCGAGAATTTTGGCTATTTATATAAATAGCACAATGTCCAATGCCCAAAGTTCTTTTGCTCTTTTCATGGCCGACCAAGGGCATATTGGGTGAAGCAATAAGCAGATTCCTTTTTAACGAAAATAATTTGTGGGCAACAGCCACGTGTGTTCCGAAATTTTTTGATTGCTATAATAAAGTATTATTATAGAGACTATGAATTGATTGTATATTGAATTAAAGTACTCTGCAAAAGTATTATTAGGAAATCTTACGGAAATATTTCAAAGAAGTTCTAACTTACCAATCTTTAGTCATTAATCTTATACTTACCCAAACAGCCAAATATAAAAATTAAAAATGCAAAGAAATAACGTTCTCCAAGAATCACACACAAAGATCTCCTTTCATATTTTTAAGCGTGATTAACAACATTAGATGCAAGGCGAAAAGAAATTTTCGTGGATGAGGTTGCAAATAAGGTGATAAAATACAAAAAAAATATGTATAAGTTTCCAAAAATCTAAGCAAAAAATGACTTTTTTCAATTGGTATGGTTGAGATTCATTGAAAACATATAGATGAGTCAATATATAAAATTTGAGGAAGATTGGAGGTGATTTGGACTGATTTAGTATCAAGATTCGTAGTTAAAATCAAGTGTAAAAAATTCTTCTGCAACACATGTATCTCACACGCAGGTATACATGGATATACATGTGATACACATTTGATACAAATATGAATACACAGTGTGATCATATCATTTTTTTCATATTCATCTTCTACTTCGAATTTTCAATTCAAACCTCCCAACTGATATTTTAAGCTCCTTAAGATGTACTCAATCTATTCTAATAACACTCACTCAAAAGAAAGCAAAACTTTGACCTTTTCTTGGCTATTAATAGCTAATTAGCTAATATTGGTAATATTTTAGGAATTGGCCAATTTTTGTAATAAGCTACTTATAAATGGACATAGCTAGTATTTTTCCAAATTTAAAAACAACTAATACAGTATTTTTATTTAGATTTTAGTTGTATATGACGATTTGTAAAAATTGTACACTATTACTATAATTTCTAAG